GCTTTCCCTGTGTCCCACACATTTGCTGTTGTTGTGTTCTAATTTGCATTTGTTTCAAGGTATATCTTTTGATATCTTCCTTGACCTCATTGTTGACCCATTCATTGTTTAGTAACATGTTATTTAGCGTCCATGTCTTTGTGTGTTTTTAAATTTTATTCTTGTGATTGATTTAAAGTTTCATAGTATTATGGTCAGAGAAGATGCTTGATATGATTTCAATCTCATTAAATTTATTGAGACTTGTTTTGTTTCCTAATGTGTTCTAGCTTAGAAAAGGTTTTCCATGTGTTCTTGAAAATAATGTATGTTCTGCTGCTTTGGGGTGGAATGCTCTAAAGATATCAATTAGATCCATTTGAACTAGTGTATCATTTAAGGCTGCCATCTCCTTGCTGATTTTCTTTCTGGAAGATCTATCCATTGATGTGAGTGGAGTGTTAAAATCCCCTACTATAACTATATTACTGCCAATCTCTCCCTTTATGGCCATCAAGATTTGCTTTACATATTTAGGTGCTCTTATGTTGGGTGCATAAATGTTTACAAGGGTTATACCCTTTTGTTGGATTGATCCTTTTGTCATTATGTAGTATCTTTCTTTGTCTCTTACTATAGCCTTGGTTTTAAAGTCTATTTTTCAGATATAAGTATTGCTACACCAGCTTTTCCCCCCATTCCAGCATATACATTTATAGTGATTATTGATAGGTACATATTTATTATAATTTTATTTTTTTAACTATGTTTCTCCCCACTCCCCACTCCCCACTCCCCGTTTTCTTCTTCTTCAGCTTTTTAAAGCAAGCCCTTTAATATTTCTGGTAATACTGGTTTGGTGGTAACAAACTCCCTTAGCTTTTACTTCTCTGGGAAGCTCTTTATTTCTCCTTCAGTTTTAAATGATAGACTTTCTGGGTAAAGTGGCCTTGGTTGTAGGACCTTGTTTTTCATTACTTTGAATATGTCATGCCAATCATGCCTGAAATGTTCCTGTTGAGAAATTAACTGACAGCTTTATGGGAGCTCCCTTGTAGGTAACTGACTGCCTTTCTCTTGCAGATTTTAAGATTGTCTCTTTGTCTTATCATTTTAATTATGATGTAAAAAAAAAAAAAAAAATTCCACTCACAATTGCTTCACAAAGAATAAAATACCTAAGAATAAATTTAACTGAGGATGTAAAAGAACTGTACTCAGAAAATTATGAGATGGAAATTGAGGCAGTTACAAATAAGTGGAAGCATATACCATGTTCATGGATAGGAAGAATTAACATCAGTAAAATCTCCATACTACCCAAAGCAATCTACAAATTCAACACAATTCTTATCAAGATACCTATGGCATATTTCACAGAACTAGAACAAATATTTCAAAAATCTATATGGAACCACAAGAGATCCCAAATAGCAACAGCGATCTTGAGAAAGAAGAACAAAGTTTTAGATCATGCTACTTGATATCAAACTATACTACAAGGCTATAGTAATTAAAACAGCATGGTATTGTCATAAAAACAGATATATTGATCAATGGAAAAAAATAGAGAGGCCAGAACTAAATTTCCGCCTTTATGGTAAATTACTTGATGAAGGAGGCAAAAACATACAATAGACTAAAGATAGTCTATTTAATAAATAGTGTTTGGAAAATTGGACAAATACATGCAAAAAATGAAACTAGACTACCTTCTTATACTGCACACAAAAATAAACAGAGATAGTGGCATTGGCTAGCAGACACCATAGATCCTTCTCTCTGCTCAGCACAGAGCGAGCTGATACAAAGTCCCAGCTCCCAGCTTCCTCTGGGGAAGAAAAGAGTTGATCTATGCATCTAGTGCTCCATGTTCTCTAGGACTGACCAAAGAACTAGCATCCTTCTCACTAGTCTTGAAACTCTGATGGATTTAGCACAGTTTAGCTGTTGTAACTATAAGATATTTTATGTAAGCCACAAGGTAATTACACAAAAAACCTGTAGAAGTTATACAAAAGAAAAATAATTCAAAGGATATCACCACAGAAAACCAATTTAACATGAGGAAGACATCAAGAAAGGAAAAGAAAGATGCCTGAAACTAATACAAAATAACAATGAATGTAGACTGTAATTTTAAAAAATTGAAAAAAGATAGATGAAAGAATAAGATTAACAGAAGACAACTATCAAAGTGGCATAGTAGAACCTTCCCTATCAATAATTACTTCAAATGTAAATGGATTAAACGCTCCAATCAAAAGACAGAGTGACTGAATGAATTAAAACAAACAACAAAAAATACCAAGACTCAAGTATGTGTTGTCTATAAGAGAGTCACTTTAGATTACAGAGCACAGAGCGCACACAGGCTGAAAGTGAAGGGAGGGGAAAAGTGTGCAAATAGTAACCAAAAGAGAGCACGTTTGGCTATACTTATATCAGACAAAATAGACTTTAAGTCAAAAACTGTCCCAAGAGACAAGGAGGAGCATTACAAAACAACAAAAGGGTCAACCCACCAGGAAGATATAACAATTATAAATATATACTGACCCAACATCAGAACACCTAAATATATAAAGCAAATGTTGGTAGAATTGAGGGGAGACATAGATAGTTCCTGGATCTGGAACAAGACAAGGATGCCCACTCTCACCAGTTCTATTCAATATAGCAATGGAAGTCTTAGCCAGAGCAGTTAGGCAAGAAAAAGAAATAAAAGGCATCTAAAGCAGCATACAAAAATATTTTGTGTTTACACTAATAACAAACTATCTGAAAAAGAAATTAGAAAAATAATCCCATTTATAATAGCACCTGAAAGAATAAACTGCTTAGGAATAAACTTAACTAAGCAGGTGAAAATCCTGTATAT